CATGCCCTCTCACGCTTCTTGTCCTTTGGCTGGTTCACTGGAGCCATTCTGTCTGACCACTGAAAGCAAACAAAGCATGGAAGGTAAGACTGTCATACACTTCTAACCAGAGGACAGAGAGAAAAACTGGAATGGAACATATCCCAGTTAGTCTGAAGGTAGTAATTAGACCTGTATCCTCTTTCATTGGGATGACACTAGCTTTTTGTTGTTCTCTACTGAAGAGAGAAACAGGTTCAATAAAATCTTCTTTGCTCACATATGAAAATTAACGTATCCTAAAGCACTAGATTATGTTTTGACAGATGTGCCTCTACCAGACTTTTAAACACAAAACCCAAAGATGTGCATAAAGTACATCTGTGAAACCACAGATTACCCTAACTGTTTCTCTGGTAACTCACACTGAGCTCTTTAGATTCAGCAAAGCAAAAGGTCAGAATTTTTGTGACGATGGCCAGGGCTGACTGGCCTTGCAACAAGTGGGCTCAGAAGGTACTTCCTCCATTATGGCCACTTTTCCTCACAACCACCACCTGGTATTTGGATTGGGCTCCTGCAGTGCCTGGCAACCACACCGGAACTGCTCTTCTGACGGCGGTGGGATTCAGCCACTCGTGTCCCGCGTTATGCCGGCCACAACACCAGCAGGCCCCTGAGGAAAAGCATGGGCCTTCCACAGCCTTCTCTGCAACCAGCGCGCCGTGCGCCAAACGCCCTCCGCAGCGGCAGCGCCTTCCCGTAAAGCATCCCTAGGCTGAGCCTGTGCTCTCGCTGAGCTTATTTAGAATTCCTGAATGGCCGTCACGGATATCTGCCCGTGTTAAATATAGCTCGGCGGCCACGGCGCAGGCTCTTACCCTTCCGGCAGCTGCGGGCCTAGCGCGGGGCCGTCCTGCAGCCCCAGGCGCGGCCCGGTGCCCCCGCGGCCTGGGCGGAAAGCCCACCCCGCTCTCACCTGCGCTCCCGCGGCCTCCACTCTCCCGGCGCCGCCGCGGCCGGCGGCCGGCACTGGCCCCTCCCCCGCGGTTTCATAACCGGGGCGGGAACGGGGGACAGCGGCTTCGGCCCTGCCCCCGGAGCGGCACCGAGTATCGCCGGCCGTGGCGGCCCCCGCCACCCTTCGCCGCAGAGGGGCAGGGGCAGCGCCATCGACGGGGGAGGTCGGGGATGACTCGGTGTGCTTGTCTAGTCCCTGCCCGCCTCCCCGGCCCTCAGCATGAGCAGCACCTCCGGCTCCCGGAAGCGAGAGATCCTCCGGCTGCGAGGGCCAAGCCGGCCTGAAACGCGCGATCCGTCTTTGTCTGCCTCTTGTTTATTGGTGCAGCACGTAAAATCATATGCCACTCATTAGTTTGTAGAGCATAAAATTGTCCTATTAAAGCTGTTTGGTAAGGGCCCCAAATACGGCAATCAAAAAAAATTCAAAATAGCATTTCCACAAGAAAATTCACCTGGTGTTGGAACACAACATCATCAATAGCATCAGGACCATGAACAAGAAGAGGCGCTTCAAAAGCTGATAACAGTCTTGTCGAGAGCAGCTCATAGAGTACCAGATGCTACATGACGAAGCTGACAAGAACAGGAAAGGAAGAGCTCTACCAACACAGAGGGAGGTACCAGCACTTCCCTCCCGCACCTGCAAAGGAGGCTGCTGTCTGCGGGCCACGCACCATGGGGAACCTCATCCCTCATCTCTGGAGCAGTAAGGTTCCCTGGCTTCAGGCCTGCCAGTAACTATGCTGAGTAATTAAGGTACCGTCATCCACACAGGAGGCTATGAACACAGGTTCTAAAGTAGCTGTACATAGTCATGCCTTCTGTAGGGTTTGGTTTCAAGTGCTACTATTTTTTGAGCTATAACAACAGTTACCTGTGGATTTTCTCACATAACAGAAAATACACAGGAAAACTCCGCAGAAAAACAACAAATACTCAGTCTCTATGCTCTTTCCCTGAACAGTAACAAAGTTGTATTAGTTGCTGTATCAGAATGCCATACACAAAAACGATAATCACTAATACAATCTGGTTTTGGACATACACATCAAACCAATTAGCACATCTTAAAGTCTCATCAGGCACTTTTGTAATACATAGCATTTATCTTACAACTGTACCCATTAGCAAAAAACAGTGTAACCTACAGATTTCCATGTTGGAGCTATCACAGTTAGCATTTTTTAGAAATGGAATGGAATACAAAAGAGTAGAAAAGGCTATTGCCTATGGAAGGGACCTACAGTGAATATCTAGTCCAACTGCCAGACAGGTTCAGGGCTGACCTAGTCAAAGCCTGGTATAAAGGGCATTGTCCAAATGCCTCTTAAAAACTGACAGCTTGGGGCATTAGCCACCTTTCTAGGAAGATTGTTCTGGTGTTTGACTACCCTCTCTGTAAAGAAATGCTTCCTAATGTCCAGTCTAAGCCTCCCCTGGTGGAGCTTTAAACCACTCCCATGCATCCTATCACTGGATCCCAGGAGAAGAGATCAGTATCTCCCACTCCACTTACCCTTCTCAGGAAGCTGTGGGGAGCCGTGAGGTCACCCCTCAGCCTACTTTCTCCCAGCCTAGGAAAGCCAAACTCTGGATACAGTCAAGTACTTCAACACCATTCTCAAATTTTGAGTCCCAGAACTGCACACAGTACTCACGATGAGGTCACATGCTAAACAGAGTGTTTGTGTCAATGACTAACACCAAGTTTGATTTCTCTCTAGAGAATCATGGGATATTTTTGTAATTATTATCCGCTAAGGGCAAGAACAGCCGACAGTACACAATTCATGCACAGAAAAAATGCCACTGCCCTGATGTCTCACAGCTCAGTGTCTGGATGGTAGTCTGAGCAAGCAAGAGAAAGACTAGTTTGAAAAAATATTCTTTCATCTTTTAGAACTGCAGTATGCAACAAAGTCAGAGGAGTAGAATTCTGCATGGGCAGGATATTAGGCTTATTTTTATTATGTCTTTTCTCGGATGTACAATTATGTTGAGGCTCTACCTCAGTTATGGGACATGGTTCTCTCTCAAAGAATCAAGTTGTGTTGTCACTGGGTCCGGTAAAGCTATACTGTAACTAAGATCAGCTTAGTGGTATTAGTAATACCATTAGGTGTTCTGCCTCCTTGTTTCCAGGATCTTTGTCTAAAGCATGAATAATTTTGGCTGCTTTAACTAAATATACAATTATATACAAATGTATAATCATATACAAATATATAAATTATATATACTGATGTATATATCATTAGAGCAACTAGAGTTTACCATGCATATGAAAACAAGCCTATATTTCTTGAAAAAGTAAAATAAAATATAAAACCCTAGAGATGAAGGAGTAAATATCATGCTGTTTGACCTCTTTCTCTTCCATGACCATTGCTAAGCTGCCCATACCAGGAAAATGAACAAAAAGATCACTACCATTATGGCCTCGTTTACCCAAGCACCATGTCTTCTCCAAGCCATTTCAGCCTTGGAAGACAGGATTGTAACAGCCATGCTATTTAATACTCTCACCTTGCAATCAGTATTGGTGGTGGCCAAGTCCCACATGGGCAGCATCTGTCTTAGACACGCTATCTTAGATGCACATGGGATATCGATATAGAAATCAGTATGCAAACATAACAAGGGCAAACACTGAATATAGACTATTAATGGATGACAGGAGTTTACCTTTTTTGACCTTCATTAATGTACATTAATTTGATAATGGAAATCAAAAACTCAGATCTTAATTGAATTAGGGAGTATCTAAGCCAAAGAATAGGGTTCAATTTTGTTTTAGTAAAAGACAATGTTGTTGCTTATACTCTCAACTGTTATTAACTTTGAGGACAAGACAAGCATCTTTCTTCACTTCTTTAAAGGATACTCATAGTGACACCCATGATAAGCAATGACCTGTCAGGTGTCCATCTTCCAGGGACCCTATGCTGGTAAAAGTGAACAGAGGATTGGTCTCAGAAGAAATTAAGTGGAATGTTTTCTAATATCCACTTTCTAACACAGAATTTCACTGTATGTGAAGGGCATCAGCACAGTTATTTTCTGGCTCTTATGAAATCTAGGGCACTTGTAAAAATACCCAAGTACTCCAGAGAAGTGGAAGATTTATGGCATGGTCTTTCCTCTCTCCCTTCTGCAAGGCTCTTCAGTCTTTCCTTTTTCGACCAATTGAATAAACATCACTACAAACCCACAGCTGGGCCTTGGAATTGTGTCCCAAGTCACTTGGAAGCAGTCAAGAGGAGGCGGGCCAGCAAGGTCTCATAGTGCTCCTTGTACAAGCCCGGCCTCAAGAGAAATTGCACTCGGGGACTTAAAGATGAGGTCCCGATTATTCGGATAGAGATTTTCAGAGAAATGGAAGAGTAACTGAAACCAGTTAGCAATATCGGGCTAAAAGAGAAAGATGAATGCCAAGGCGAACTGAGGTGATGCCACCCTCTAAGCCCAGGGAGAGTGACCCACACCCCTCTCACAAGCGAGACCACAGCACTTCACTTGGGTGGAAGCCAGCCTTGGGGAACCTCCTCCTCCAACACCAGGTAAGCTCCGGGTCCTACAGGTCATCTGCCCGGTACAGCACACAGATGAACGAACTCACGGACAGGAGCCGAACTCAGGGCAGCTCCCAGAACTGCCTCCCTCCCGCCCCCGCCACGAAGGGGATCCTGGCCAGGGAGACTTCCCTCAGCCCCCTCCTCACCCCACGGCTGCAGGCCCTTCCCAATGTGGAGGCAGGGTGGAACGACGACAGGAACCGGCGCTGCCCTCCCCACACCCTCCTCCGACCCCACCTGCCTGGGCAGAGCCCACTCCCGTTAATTGGATCAAGGGCCGGGCGGCGGGGGCGGGGAGGCGGGAGCTGCGCCGAAGCTGCCCCGTCGCTGCCATCGGAGCACCCCGAGCCTGGGCCCGCCCCGCGGGCGCTGCTGGAGGCGGGGCGGGACCCCCGAGTCCCGCGGTTGAAATAGGGGGAGGGCTCAACCAGTCCCTCCCCTAGGTGGCCGCTGCCCGCCGCGCGTTCCGCCGTGCCACGCCGCCTGCGAGGTAAGCGGCGGGGTCACTGCTGCGGGCTCCGCTCTCCCGGGCCCGGCGCCTTTTGGTCCTGTGCCCTGTGGGGTGCCGGGGGTCCTGGTGGCCCTGGCGGCGGAGCCCGTCCTGGTCCCGTCGCCGCCTTCTCGCGGCGGGCAGCGCGTCTTGGGACGCGCTGGCAACTGCGAGGGAAAAGTTTCCTCATGGAAAGGGGGCGGGTGGGGGAGGCGGTACCCGGCTGGGCGCTGGCTGTGGGCAGGAGGGGACTGGGAGGCGGCTCGGTGCGGTTCGTCTGGAGGCGCAGCGGAGACCCCCGGTAGGTGCGGGAGCGGCGGCGCGCGGGGCTGGGAAGGGCGGCAGGGCTGCGGTCCCGGCGGGTTGTTCGCGAGGGGCTGGAGAAGCTCTTGCCAGAGTTTCGCTCCCTTTGCGTTCCTAAGCTTCGCCGGGTGCCCCGCCGCCGGCCTCCCGGGGCCGGCCCGCTGCCGCCGCCCCGTCACTGGGGGCTGCCGAGGCTCCCCCTCCCTCCCTCCCTCTGGAGCCCGCGCCTCCGCTCCGCCGCGGGGACAGGGGCCTCTTTGTGCCGGATCCGCGCAGAGCCGCTTCCCACTCTGAAACCGGAGCCGCGGGCGCTGGCAGCGCTGTGGAGAGTGGGGTTAAAGCGGCTTCCCAGGACCCCCTGGGAAAGGGGCCGCGCCGGGGCCCAGGCTCGCGGGGCTGCAGTCCCTTGTCTCCGGTGTCCTTGTTGCCGGTCTGTGAGCCGTACTCTGGGCAGCTGAATGGAGAAGTTCGGCAGATGGGACAGTTCTGTCCTTATTCGTCCTCCTCCTCTCTTCTGGCTGCCCACAGCAGTGAGGGGAGGGCGAGGGACAGGCACCAGGGATGCTGCCTGTGGCTGTGTCACCGGGCCCCTGGCAGGCTGCTGGGGTTACTGTGTCCTCTCCAGACTAGGGCAGGAGAAAGCTGATAAACAGGGAGGGTATTAGTGGGCCTGAATATCCAGCGCTTGAGAAGACAGTCTGATTTGTCACTGGGCATGGGAGGAGTGTTCCAAGGTCTCTGCAAAGCTATCGATAAGTGAAGCTAGCGTGGCCCAAACGCATTAACCTGTTCCACCACTTTCTGTGCCAACTATGTGTTCTTTCCTTGCTTCAGTTCTTCAGGTATGCAAGAAGGCTCAGGGCTTGGTGGGACGGGCGAGGTTGAGGTTAGCTGACCACCGCCAGACCCTTGTTCCTGGCCCTAGGAAGTAGTCTAGCCTTTTTGTTCACTCTTTGACCCACCTTATAGAACTGGTGCTCCCTACTTCCTGAAACTGGAAGTGAACTTCTCTCTCCTTCAAATCAGCTGCTGGTCTAATTCACACAAAGGAATTTCTGATACGATGGTAATTGATTGCAGTACAGAACCCAAGCAGAGCCTCCCACTCCACCCTGACATTGAAGTGTCACTAAGCCTTACAGTGGGTGACTCAAGTCATTCTCGGGAAGGAATGAGAGCAGAATGCACAACTGCAGTGTGTGGGCTAAAATGACAGGGTCCAGATACTCCGTGCTCCAGGTGTGAGCTGGTCTTTGGGTGGAGTCAAAGTGGAGCTTCTCCCCATGAGTTGCGTAACTGGGCACATTCTTTCATGCAAGGATTCACCTTTCCCTGAAGTCCACAATATGCTTTGTGTGAGATGGAGTCTGCTTTGATAGTGTTTTGTGTAATTAGTGGTATTTCTCTAGAAGTTCCCTAAAATATTTACTAGATTGTCCTTTGAGTTGCAGCTTGGAACAGAATGAATGTGTGAGCTTGATCAGCTGCCTGCTGCCTTCCCTGTTTTGTGCCTGGTCCATTGTATTGCTTTACTGGCTTTTTAATTTTTTTCTTCTGATCTGTATGTTTGAGCTTCTTTGGCTTGCCTGCACTTGTTCAGGTGAAGACTGTCTTCTTCTCAGGCTGAAAAAAGCAGTAACCTGAGTGTATCATCTATGTATATGGGTGAGAACAACTGCCCACCTGAAACTCTATTATCAAATGTCAACAAGTGAATAGGCTTGTGTGTGGCTGCACTGCACCAAAATGCTGCAGGTCACTGGCAGACTATGTGTGTAACCAAGTCATAAAAGCCTGAAGATTTTATGGACCCAAATTAATTTCTTCACAGGATAATGATTGGTGTTTTTAGTCATTTTAGGTTTTTGTGGACCTAGCCTGAATCTTCTGGGCTTTCCCTGGATGCTCATAAATTTACAACAAAAAGAAAATAAATATGTATTAGAGAATCAATGTATATTTACACACATGCATGCATATATATATATATATAACACAATAATATATATACATATATATATATAATGTGTATATATATATTATATGATTATGTAATACTATATATATATACACACACAGTAATACAATAATGGGACTTCTTAGGAGATGCAAAGCTGTAAGAATGCCTTTACCACCACAACGGGGTGATGTGAGCTTCTGTCAGAACTCATGATATCAGCAAGCATGGCAAACACTGTATATTCTTTATTCTGGCCATCTCAAGGGCTGGAGATTATTCAGTTGTTGTTTGAACTGTTTGGTCTGTGTCATGGCTAGCATCCAGGGTTTGAACAAAAGCTAAAAGTATCTGCTTATAGCCCGAGTGGAAAAAGCTATACTCTTGATCAGAGAGCATTAATAAACTGCCTCTATTTTTGCCATCAGCTGATCAGTGATCTGTGAATTTGGGCTGCTCTTGAGAGTTCATGGGGAAATGCCTGAACAATACGAGAGCTGTTTAAGCCCTTTAAGGAGCTCTTATCTTTTTAAAACAGACTTTGTGATCAGGCAAGCTGTTTTATCGCTAGTTACTCAGTGTGATGGGTGTAGAGGGTACTCTGTGAGAGGCAACTGTGACAGATAGATTTTTAAAAAGCCTTAATATTTAGTCTAAGACTTGAGTGAATGGGTCAGAAAACAGTGACTGCTGTACCTAGAAGTTTCCACAAAGAATTTAGGATTTTGCTCTTTGAAGAATTAAAAAAGAACTTGGTATCCTTGAAGCAGTTAAGAAGCTGTTCAAGTGGTAGCTTTTTGCCACTACCCTGCAGCATGGTGATTGCTGTAATTTAACATCAAAATGCACTCTTGACTGTTTGGGCACAAATTTTTCCAGCAGCACAAAGGAAAATGTTGTGCAAAGAACCTGGTGCATTCTCTGCTGTAATCATCCAGCTTTGTTTCAATGATGGTACATTGGTCTCCAGTAGCTGGGCACCGCTATAAGGCAGTAAATGTGACTGGCATCCTAATCATGTTTGAGCCTTCACTGGATTCTTCTTGCTGTGAATGGGACGATGGGAATGAGCCTTTCAGACTTGGGATAGTTGGAATTTGTGTGTTAAATCTAGTGATTGTCACTGGGCACTGTAGTTTGTTGAAAAGGCATGTGAGAGATCTCCATGGTACCGGGGGCCTGGATCCAGAGGCATTAGGTTTGTATGGGATTTTATGCTCTCTTAATAGGTGACTGTGGTAGGACTCTATTTATTGCAACCAAGTTTTTCCAGGCTAGAGGAGTTAGAATTGCTGCAGGCAACCCATAAGTAACAGTGCTGGCAACCCTTCAGCCTCCTCAGTCCTGTCCCTACTGTGAGCTCGCCCATGCTGTGTCTCTCCTGTTTGCAGGAAGACACAGTACTTGCCTCCTTGGCTCTCAGGGACATAGTCCTTTCAGTCACCTACAGATGATTTGCTGTTGGTAGTAGCTTCCTGCCATGCCTCAGTACAGTACCCCTGCTGCTGAGCCAAACTTCTCCCACTCCTGAGGGTGCTGAGCTGCACCCGCTGCAGTACTGCTGTGCAGAGCTCTGAAGTGGCCTTGCTGCTTTTTCTGACAAGGGCAAGAAGCTTTCATGGATGATTGAGAGAAGATGTAGCATATTTGACTCCTTGAATGATTGAAAGTATTTACTTCTGCTTCTTGATGTTTTCAGTCAGCTCTGCCTTGGACAAGGACTGGTGAGCTATGGTAACCCATGGGAAACCTTGCTGTTGACTCCAGCAGGCTTCTACTCCAATGCAAGCAAACAGCTAGGGTTTTGAGCTGCTTCAGGAAGCCTTGCAGGGAAATAAAGCTCACTGGATTGCTTTGTTGTGCTTGTGGTTTTTTAAAAAGCCTTCCAGTGTTCTTCCCTCACATGTCAGGTTGAATCTTGAGGACCAGAAACTGAAATCATTCCTTTGGGCAGTGGACTGAGAAAGCAACTGACATTCCAGTGATGCTGAACATTAAAATCTATCCTGTCACGTGTGCACTTTGGGCTGACTGCCCTGTTTGCCTGTGTTGTCCTAAAGTATTCTGAATAAAATTTAGGATATGAAGTGCTAATAGTTCTGTTCTGAAGTGTTAACAGTTCTGTTTTTCAGCCTGAGATCCAAAAACTTATTTAAGAGGCACTACGGATACTAAGGAGCAGATTCTGTGCAGATACTATGAAAGTAGATAAAAGCTGCTCCATGACATGCAGGGCAATGAACTTCAAGAAGAATGTGTGAAGTATTTGTGGCCTTTCAGTAGAAGAATTTCAGCCTTTCAGTACTTAAAAGGAGCTTATATAAGGAGGGAGAGCAACTTTTTGCATGGGCAGATGGTGATCAGACAAGGGTGAATGCTTTTAAACTAGAGGAGAAATTTAGATTAGATGTTATGAAGAAATTCTTTAAGTAAAGTATTGCTAGAACAGGTTGCCCAGGGAAGTTGTGGATGCCCCATCCCTGGTAGTATTCAAGGCCAGGTTGGATGGAGTTTTGAACAGCCTGGTCTCATGGGTGGCATCCAAGCCCATGGAGATGGGCATGGAAGTAGATGATCTTTGTGGTCCCTTCCAACCAAAACCATTCTAATATTCAATGAAGTATGAATCTCTACAGAGCAGGCCAGTTCCTAATGGCTTTCCTACTTCAACCTTGTTACCTGTATCTCTGGGAAATCTGTCAGAAAGGTGTATGAATATGTTTAGAAGTGTAGTACCTCCAAAGTGGCTGATTGGCCAAACTCTTCTTGAACCAGGAGATGCTACAAAGGGAATATAAGTTCTCTCCAGTCCACAGAGCAAAGGATGCATTCTTTTCACATCTGGTCCCATAAAAAATGCAAAATGACTCTGTGTAAAAGCTACTCTGCAGTCCTTCCAGTTCTTATGGTATTGCAATCTGCCTTAATTTGCAGTTGTTTTTATGCTGTTTAGATTTTCCTGCAGAATAAACCTAGCTCTGGTAACAAAAGGTGAAAAAAGAGCCTTGCTGTCAAAGTGGAGGAACTGGTCACACCTGGAACAGAAGCAATGGGTATGATGCTTTAACCTCATTCTTCTTTACCATGAGAGATGCCCTAGCACTCAGTTTTATCTTACTCAGCTCTCAAGTCAAGGAGTTGGTTGCACTCCCTTCTACTCACTGTTTGGGACTCAAAACTCTTCAGGGAACTGGATGAACTTCAGAAATGCCTTGAGGATGATCTTCAATGTTTTTGTCTCCATTATATGAATATTTGGAAGGAAAGTATTCACATAATAAGCAGTTCTAGTAAATCAGCTTTTACCATGTAAAACCAGAAACCTATTTGATGCAGCCATAGATAAAGAAATGCAGTACTTTGAAATAATTTACCATGATTGTCACACATTTGGTCTGAAGGACAAATTTCTTCCAACTCTTATCTCCCATTCCCCTTTCTCAAAAAGCAGCCAGTGGAAAATACAACTGTTGGTAAAGGAAACCCAGAAGCTCCAGAATTACAAATGAGTTAAAAACTCACTGTGGCTTCCAGGTGGGAGAAGGTAGCAGAGAAGGCTGGAGATTTCTGACTGCTGTGCAGTCTAGTGAAGCAAGAAACCTCCAGAAGCTCATTGTTAGAATGGAGCTAATTGGCTTGTGGCTCCCACAAAGTTTGATTGCATTGAGGGCAATCTGCTTCCTTAGGACTTCTAATGCATTCATGTAAACTTGATCCCTGCTCTTGGCTTTGCAAGGTGATTCAATCACAGGAGAATATTCCAGTGACAGGAACTTACTGGAGTTTGCCCCCCTACCCACTCCCCATCCACAACCACAGCAAACATCCCTGCTCACCACTTCCTATTGCTTCTGCCTTCTTCACTCAGGGTTAGATGAGTCCAGGGCATTTTATTCTGTTTGGATAAGTGTTGTTCATGTAAAGATCCAAACAAAGCAAACTTCTTATTCCAAGCCTAGTTGGAGAGGATAGACTGGTCCAACCTGCTACTGCAATAACTTATCTTTACTTAAAGTTCCAGGCAACTGTGTTACAGAATGGACTATTGATCTTACCAGTTATTAAATGCAGAAAAGAACATTACCAGGTAAGATGTAGATTAAATCCTGGAAAATGTTTGCATTCAGTGTGGATTGAGACTGTTAAGGAGGGATATACTAGCTTTTACTAGAACTTTAAACACCTGTTTATCAGTGATTTAGGAAGAAAGAACTTTCAGTTGTTTGGGGTCCTATCTGATGAAAAGGGAAGTGCATGTGTTTGGTGTTTGCTTGCAGAGACTGATGCAGCAGGGTGGGAAGTACCCTGGGAAATATCCAGCGTAGAAGCAAACAAGTGAAGAGGCCAGGGAGTGGGACAGTAGCAATTACAGGTTCTCCATATCTGCCTGGGTTAAAACATTGCCCTAAGAGAGTGGTAAGACAGGGAGTGTGAGAGCTGGAAAGTGGGCATTCTGTGACTAAGGAGTGGAACAGCAATGATGCTGTTAACAGGTCTAAGAAAGCAGCTAGGGTAGTGCTGTTCCTGGTAACTTGTATGTGTGGCTTTTTACTAAGAAGTCAGCTGCAGCTGCTAAACATATAGACACAACATACATGTTTAAATTATACCAGCAACCATTTGGAATAAAAATTAACATAGCCTATTGCCCTGTTTGAGTATGGTACACAATGGTTCACTGCTGGCTTTTTCCCTCCTTCAGCTCTGTATTTGAGATTGTGATTTTTTTTTTTTTTAATAAAAAGAACAACTCAGAAAAAATGTAACATTTACCTTGATAGCCCACTACATTCCTTCATTAACATTGTCTCATACTGTCATGTTAACCAGAATAGATCTGTGTTCCTGTAATGTTAAAGATCCTCTACATCATATTGGAAATAAAAGCAGATTTTTTTTCTTTTTCTTGGTAAAACAGTTTCTGTCTGGTAAAGCTATGTCAGCCGGGAATCTTAACCCCTAGATCAGCAGCAGTGTATTAGTAGAAGCCTGGCCTGTAGCCTTGGCTGCTGACAGGGAATAGCTAATAGTAGAAAGGATTGAGTTCTGCATGAACACTTTGAAAACAGCTTGGGGTGGCACATGGGGAATGCCTGTCATCAGTACATTAACTTGATCTGAATGTGAAGACTAAGCTGAAGAAGCTGTGGTCTGGACTCAGGGGGTCAGCTCTTCAATCTCGTCTGTGTTTTAGTATTTTGGTATAATCGTTGAGAATTTTGCTAGTGGACAGCCACATGATCTCTAGAGAATCATGGGCTGGGAGATGGGCTTCTGTTAGTGACCTCTGTGTGTAGTTACTGTTCTGCCTGCTGTCTCTCTGACCTTTCCCTGGCTGGAGAAATGAGCTGAAACTGAAATCTTGCCTGAAACTGTATTAGACAGCTCTGGCAGGCTTCAGTCCTTAGGGAGAGGCTGGGAAACACTGGCTTAGTCCCTTTCCCAGTCAGGTGACTGCTGAGGGCATGACACTGCAATAAGATAAATACCTCTAAGGGAATTTTTGGGGGATCTTTGTGTTACTTGGTGTTCTTTCTAGCAGCAGACAAGAACTGTCCCCTCTTCAGAAAGGTGAGTGTCTGCCTATAAATACCAGACCTCCTACATAATGGCAGTGGAGAGGACACAGAGCTGGGGAGTCTGGAAAGGACACCCTGTCCCATGCCCCATTTCATTCTCTCTGTTGGGGACCTTCCTAGCTCTGCTGTACCAACAGCAATCGAGTTTGTTACACTGCTGGAGTGACATGGAACCTCCTGGCTTCAGCTCTCTAGTTTCATTCTGACAAGTTAGAAGGAAAAAAAAAAGGGATTTCATGCTGTAAGGGAAGGGGGGCTGCCATTTTGTGTAGTTGGATTGTTCAGATTGAAACATTTATCTGCAACCTGTACTAGAGTGCCAGTGTTTTTGGAGGGAAAATAATGCCTTGTAGTGCTGTACAGAAGAATGACCAGGGAATCAAACAAATTGGTTGCAAAAAGTATCAAATTCCTCCTTTCTGGTGGTAGTTGTCTTGAGGTGGAAATTAGTTAGTAGCAACCGATTACTGATTAAAACTTTTGCTTAGCTTGGCTTTAGCACCTATATAGAAATTGATCCACAATAAAAATGTGTCTTCCCCAAAGCCTCACTTACTAGATAAATGTTACTCAATTTATTCCTACATGTGTCTGTATCCAGCAATTGCTGTTGTAGTTGGGAAAGGGAAGAGGAGTTGAGCAGAAGGCCTTGTCTGGTGCAATATACAAGCTTTGTTTGTGTGGATGAATTCCTGCAGGACTGCAGCCCTTTGAGCCCTTGTAGAGTTCAGAGGTTTGATCTTGGGGAACTTAGGAAGACGGTTGCTCATAAGGATTCTCAGGAGGCAGTCAAGCAATGCATAGAAGTGGTGCCTTGGGCATTTGGAGGCTGGAAGAACGGGAATGTGGT